ACACAACCAGCTGCGGTTGTAGCGACTAGAAACTCACCCGCTCTAAGCAATATAGTAGTGCCGACCAGGCCGAGGGGAAGTGGGAAGTTGAATATCGAGCCCAGCTCGCCCAAATACAGTGAAGAATTGATGAGAAAGAATGCAGACCTTGAAAGGCAACTGCGGGATGTACAGAAATCCATTGACGAGCTAAAAAGCCCTCGGTCGCATCAGCAGACTTTGGATTTGGATAGTGCTCCGCTGAACCTATCCATCACGGCAGAACCATATCAAGAGGGATTCAAAATTCCCCACCTAGAGACATATGATGGCACGAAAGACCCGGATGAACATCTACACACCTATCAAGCCATCATGAGGATTCAAAACGCCAATGATGCTATGATGTGCAAAGTATTCCCGGCGACACTGAAATCAACAGCCCGAAGATGGTATCACAAACTCCCCAGGCATTCAATAGATTCGTTTTCCCAGCTCGCCAAGTTATTCTCTAACAAATTTGCAAGCCAAAGGGAGATCAAGCGCACAGCAACTGAGCTGATGCAAGTTAGCTAGAAGGAAGGGGAGTCTCTGAGGGATTACATGCAGCGGTTCAACAAAGCCACATTGGACATTGATAATGTCCCAGACACAATATGCCTGTCCGCCCTGTTGCATGGGTTGAAGCGTGGCCGGTTCCTAGACGACCTGCTTGAAAACCCACCGAAGACGTGGAATGAGGTGAATGACAGGTCAGCCAGCTTCATACTATCAGAAGACTTTCAGTCGTCCAAGCGACGAGCTGATGATAAGCCGAACAGAGGCCAAGAACAACAACCGAGAAGAGAAGAAAAGAAGAAACAGAAGGTCGGTGAGCAATGGGGGAAACCAACTGAGTTCCCGAAATATGCCAGTTACATTCCTTTGACCTTACCCAAGTCTCAAATCCTGGCACAAATTCAGCACTGGGTTCGGAGACCTCCACCCCCACTACATGATTCCTCGAGGGCAGATAAAAGCAAGCATTGTGACTACCACCGTGTATATGGTCACAATACCGAGGACTACCAACACTTGAAGGACGAGTTAGAGTTTTTGGCTCGTAACGGGAAGCTAGAAGGGTATGTCCAGAAGCCTCACACCCAGCAACCCACTCAAACCCATTTTGTGCAGGCGTATGACCGACCTCAAGGACAGAGGTACCAGCATGGGGGGACGCAGGATGCATATCAGGATAACCAGTATCCTTCTGAACAGAGCAGAGCGTACCGAGGACGTCCTTTCAACAGGAAAGGGCAGGGACCGAGAACTACTGCCCCGAATCAAAAAGACAGAAAAGGGGTAGGTTATGCTGGGATACCCTCACCTTCTGGTACAATAAACATGATATCGGGTGGTGTTCACTCAGGGGGCCAAAGCGCCCGAGCTCGCAAGGCATATGCTCGACAGGTGATGACCGTCAACAAAAACAGACCATTGAAACGGCCGTTTGAGGAAGCAGAATGGGAAAATATGCCCATTACATTCAGCCCGGCAGATTACAAGCGAGTAGAAGGAGAGCCCGACATTATGATGCCCCATGCAGATCCCTTTGTGGCAACAGTTCATATAGGCAATCACAATGTCAATAAGGTGTTTATTGACACGGGCAGTTCACCAGATATCCTATACTGGGGTTGCTTCCAGAAGATGCAGCTAAATCCGAGCTCGCTTCAGAAGCATGAAGGGCCAATATACGGGTTTGATAACCAGCCCGTCCCAGTTGAAGGAGTCATTACCCTTCCTATATATGTGGGCTCAGAA